GTGTGCCAGGACCAGGCACTCGAAGCACTTCATGACAATGGGTGTGAGTGCTACAAGGTGGTTATTATTCAGGCACGTCAGGGTAGAATGTTTTGGCACTGGCACAATGGAGGTAGTTTTGAAGCATGTAATATGTTAATGTTGTGTTTCAGCCCCCAGATGGCACAGTTCTTTTAATATTGATATACACCTATTCAGATTGAAGCTGGGACTTCGCACTTCAATGTCATGTGCATCATTTGCTTTCAAACTGAGTGAGCTGAAGAACAAAAATGTGTAATGGTTCAAATACTTGCATACAACTGGACTGTATGCGAAATGCAGGTTTCAAGTTTGCACAGCACACTTGTACAAGTTATTGACAGACCAGGATTGACTTTCAGAGTAGTGATATCACAGATCATGTTTGCAGGCATGTGCCGTGAACTCGCACTCAGAAAGTTTCCACTTTCAGCAGATGAATTCTGTACTGTGAAGGCTAAACATCCATGAGAAGTAACATTGAGCACAAACACTTTAAAACCCCCCATCAATTTAAAAGTATGCAGGTAAATACATTTTTTTTTTGATGAAATGTCTGTTTGTATTTTAATCTACTGATGGTGTTTTCTTGCAGAGGCTTTGTCTACGACAGCAGGAACAACCTTCAGATGAGGGGTCTGGTCGTCCTACTCTTATCTAAAGCTGCAGGGCCAAGCCACACAGCCTCTGAGCTCCTGGCTCATGACATGGTCTACGGCATTTACCCCAGGTAAATCACCTGAAATGACAGGCACTGGGCTGAGGTTTAACTGGATGCGTTATTTACTGGGTAAAGTCGCATTGCAGCTGAGGAACTTGTGAACCTGAAATGTACTAAATCTTTGCTTGTTATTAGAAAGACTAAGCAATAAAAGCACCATCGCCTAGGACCCATTCTTCTGTCTTTGTTTTTGGTTTGCTTATTTTCCTGACATTCATTAAATTTCTTGAATGCTTCTGCCTGTTTGACTTTACAGCTCTGAACAGTGCACATATCAGCAGCAGCACGACACACTGAAGAGTTGTCCCTAAAGCTTTGCTAACTGTGAAATATATAATTGGTTGTTTATTGCTTTTTTTCTAACTCTGAAGCTGACTCACAAAACATTAAACCAAAAAGATTTTTCCTTTGAGGATTTTCTTAAATGTTAAATGATGTCTTCAACTTTAATCACAGTTATTGAGTATTGTCATATGGCTGTATTAGACCACAGTTGGTATCCACTGAGCAACTTCTTTGGTTAAATATGTTAAAACCAAGCTGGTAATTCAGATCCACAGCTGTTAGTTTGTATCTGTAACCATACATTATGAAACTCTGAAATGAGTTGAAAGTTACAAAAGTAATTGACTACCACTCTTCTCAGTTCCATATTGAATAGAACTGACTTGTTGCTTTTGATTTTCAGTGTAACATTATTTTAAATAATGTAACAAAGGAAAAAAACAACCTAATATTTTGTGTTTTAGAGGCATCACTTGGAGATGATGTCCTTGTCTTTGAAAGCTTTTTTTTTCTGTGAACTGATATTACTCTTTCATCTGTCCAGGAGACATTCCCCCCCCCAAAGTGGGTATTTCCCAGGGGTTCCTCTATGTAGCCCACTTTCACTCAGTAAGGGATGTATGGCAGGACTGAACACTGTTGTACCTTTAATCTTGGAGGTCGGTTTGTATTTGTTGTGTTTCTGTTCTATCTGGGATCAGTTTTCCTCTTGTGGCCACATCTGGGTAGGCTGGCACATCTGGGTAGGCTGGCTACACTCTCATGAGCCTTAAACTTCTTAATAATAATAGCAGCTACTGTAATTCTTATCTCGTCAGCCAACTCTCCTCTTTTCTTCCTGTTGGCCACGTTCAGCGTGCTGCACACAGCAATGCTAAACAATTAGTGCTTTTCTCCATTTAAAATAAATGAATGAATGAATGATTATATGAATGAAGGCACCTGTGATACTCATTGAAAACAATTGTCTGCTTAAAATAACACAAGCCAGTTATTTATCACCACTTCTAAGGGATACCAATTTTAGAAATGTTAGAATTCAGCTCTTTCCCCAACTGCTTTGTTTGGCTCTCTGGCAAACCAGAGGCTGCAGGACAAAAGACTTTTTAATTTCACATGCATAGTGTTTCAGTGAGGCGTAAGGGCACCAGCACATTAAGGTACATCTGTGTGTTTCCTGCATTAAAAGAAACAGTGAGCAGTAAACATGTAACATTGCATTGTAGAGCCATACACCAATCAGCCATAACATTATGACCACCTGCCTAATACTAGGAGTCAATGTGGCAGTTGGTTGGCACTCATGTCACTCTGCAGCTCACTGTGCATCTTCTGTGAATCCATTT